TCGAGTAACCTTTTCTTTATTAACTATGTAGTTAAAGAAAGTGAATCACACTTGTATATGCCAAGTGTATCGCACATGTAATGGTCAATATGGTGTAAATCATGTAAAACAAATTCACAAATATAGCTTTACAGAAAAGATGCATGAAATATGAAGGCATATATTGTAACATATCCTATCCTATCCTTGACAGGCACACTTGGCTATTGCGTATATGATATAAAAATGTCTGTATACGTGTAACCAAAATGTGTTCATCATTTATTTTTTTGGTCAACTGAGCTTGTTTCAATGCACTCTGGGATTGCCTTCCCTTGAAAAATCAATAAAAACAAGACACAATGTACTGTATTAACATAAAGGAATTTTCAGTATTTTTTTTTTTTACACGTTTTTTACCTGTATTTTGAATTTTTCACTTCATTGCTTCGAGTTTTAGGGTTAACATGTCAGGTTTTTTATTTGTTTGTTTGATTTTTAAACAGTGTAGGAATCCTATATTGCAGTGATTATCAATCAGGCCGGTACCCACTATAGGGTGCCTCGACAAACTTCCAAGGGAGCCAAGATTATTTAAAATTAGTGCTGTCAAATGATTAATCGCGATTAATCGCATACAAAATAAACGTTTTTGTTTGCATAATATAATATATTATATTATGCAAACAAAAACGTTTATTTTGTATGCGATTAATCGCGATTAATCGCATACAAAATAAACGTTTTTGTTTGCATAATATAATATATTATATTATGTATATATAAATACACACACATACAATATATATTTTGAAAATATTTGCATGTATTTACACGTCTATATTTATATTCAATTATTAATATATTAATATTAATATATTCATTTATATTATAAATAAATATATTTAATATATAAACACAACATATTTTTCCATGCATGTACATAATAAATATACACAGCACACATACTGTCAGTCCTGTGTCTTGTGTTTTTCTCCTCATGTGCCTTCCATGACCTAGTTTCTCCCATGTCTGATTATGTTCATTAGTTCCAGGTGTGTCTTGTTAATTCCCTCATTTTGTTGCTGAATTTAAGCTCTGTGTTTTCCTGAGTCCTGCGTGCTGTCTGAACGTCAATCTCTGTGTGCTATGTGCATGTTCCTGTGTTTTGGATGTAAATAAAGTCTGATTGTTTTGGATCTCCTTAGTCTCCACGCTCCTTCGTCCCCTCGCTCCTCGCAGTAGGCACACCATGACACATACATATATAATGTAAACAAAAACTTTTATTTTAGATGCGACAGCACTATTTAAAATTTAAACTTGATTTTAAAAAAGACAAAACATGAATTACAATAAACTAAACCTACTAAAATAAATGTTTTTAACATAGTTCAGACCTAGTCCTAGAATCATATAAACCAGTAAAATATTACAACTCTATGGACATTTTTATAACGTATATATTTTTTTTCTAGTATGCCAAGAACTATTTTATTAGGTTGAAACTGAGTAAGACATATTCCTTATCATTATCCTTCATCTTTATCCCGTAAATTACAAATGACTGGAAAAGTCATGCAAATTAATATTTGCTCTCCTGAAATTATATAACATTTTGACTCATTATTTTAGTTATTTTCTTTTTATTTAGGGCCTCTGGAGACTTTTGAAAATTTTCCAGAACTTTATCGGAAATTTTTGCAACCCTAATTGAGAACCACTGCTACAATACAGTATATATGAAGCAGGCTTCATGGCAGGAGCATACATGTAATGCCTTAAAAGTCTGGAACAGTAATTGGACAAAATTGGTGGAACCTTTTTGTAAATAGCATATTCTGCAGATTGCTTTAAAGCTAAAAGACATGGACTAAAAGCCAAAAAAAAAAAAAAAAAAAAACACACACAA